TGTCCCACCCCATATCTTTCACTCTGCTGCATGTTGTCAAACACAGTAGTTACACTAAAGGTGCTATTTTCAGGCTTCTGGAAGAGATAGATAGGAGCACAGTCGATGAAGTCACATCTAGCACATAATACAGTACATGATAATCACCAATTTGAAGGAGACAAGTCATAATTGGTCCTGTATTTAACTGTCATCCCACGGCACATGCTAATACTCCTGGGTGTCGTACGGAGGTTGCACTGGCACTAGTGCCACGCCGATTTGATTCTTGGGTTTTACATTATTAGATCAGCAGGCTCTTTTGCTCCTGCAAAAGGATGTAACTAAAATTTTGGTCCCTTCAGAACCTTGTTTGCCATCCAGTCCCTCATTTCTCCGCCAGCTTCATCTGTGCAACTCATCTTGGGTTACCTCTGGCAGATGGAGAGAGGAATCTCATTTCCAGCCTCTGCTGTCTGCATCCAGGGCCCTCCCTGAGCAGCCTCTATTTCACCGGGGAGAAAAGGGAGGAGGGAGGAGGACGAGCCTCCCCAAGAGATGAGAGTATAAAGTATTTCTCAAATTTTCATCTTCAACAGCTGGTATCATTTAACTCCCGAGGGGAAGGGGGAGAGCCTATGCTTTGTTGCTTGGGCTAGCAATATAATCTCTAGCTATCTTGATGCCAAAATATCAATTACAGGTTCATTTGGATGATGGGATAAATTGGTGTTCAGACCACTAGACAATGACATAAATTGGAGGTGGGGGGAGAAGGTGGAGGAGGGGCTTGAGCCTCAGGACAGAAGTGAAATAAGGTAAAGTCAAATTCCTCATATCCTTACAAATTAAGTAACTCAATTCTAAGCTGCTATTTGTCTCATGAAGAGAAACCCACCAGCAACGAAAGTGAAGCTGGTATTCCTCAAGAGGTCTTCTTCTTGGGGGTTCTCATTAGAGAGATATTAACGCACCCATAGCACCCAAGCTCTCCTAGCATAACAATAAGAGAAGACTGAAAACATAAATGACTTGTAATTAAAAATAAACGTCTTACCAAACACAGAGAGTCATGGAGTGTTCGATTCCATTTATATGAAATAGCTAGAACAGGTAAATCCATATAGATAGAAAGCAGATTGGTGGTTTCCAGGGGCTGAGGGAAAGGAGAAAAGGGGAATAATTCCCTTTGGAGTGTACGGTGTGTTGTATTGCGGCAACGGAATGTGATGAGATAGAGGTGATGGCTGCACAGCACTGCGAATGCGCTGAATGCTACGGAACTGTGCAATTTTAAAATGGTTAATTTCGTGTTACGCGAATTTCAAAATGAAAACATTTTCATAATGAAATGTTTTCTACCTGAAGGTCTCGTTATTTCTCACTGCTCAACAATCTACCACTATCAGGAAATAAGGAAGATTTTATTCCTATTCCACAGTGATAAGAGGGATTAAATAAGTCTCAAGTTCTAAGATTTGCCACCCTTTGGCCTTTCTTGTGAAAAGCCTAGTATTTTCCCAGAATGTCTGTAGCAGGAAAGTTATTCAAACCAGTGACCCCTGACTTGCTTAGCCCTTCACAATCAGCAGCAGCCACCGTTTGTCTGCAGTTGCAAAGAGCCAGCTAGAGAATCAAAAGTCGATGGGGTACACCTGTGTTTACAGACTCTAAGCCCCTGGCAGACCTGTGGGACCTAGCTGTATTCTGAGGAGTGGCCTTCTGCGGTGGTGACTGAGGGTCATTTTAATTCGGTAAAAAAATATAAAGACCTTACTCTTTCCACACACTTTTGGGATCAAAAAAATCAATTTTAACAAAGAGTAGAAGCATCTTCGGACGAGAGGCAGCTTTTTTCCCCCTTCCTTTGGATTCTAAGAAGAACATCTGCTTTGACATATAGATCCAAAGCAGTTAGCTATTAAATGGAAAGAGAAGCCCAAGAACTTGGCGGGAATAACAACATGTTGAGAACAGAGATGAAAAGAATGGACCTTGAAAAGAAACTACAAGACGAAGTAACGACAAAAAAATAAAATAAAATAAAATAAAAAAGAGTGTGACAACCATATTTAGGAAAAGCTAGTAGGGGACTGCCCAGCCTTACCCAATACCTCTCCCCTCTGACTCTGACACTACAGTCAGGGCCGCGGACAAACAGGCTTCCCAAACCCTTGCCCAATTTGTAGAACCATTCAATTTGTCTCACGCACTACTTTTTTTTATATAGATCTGATCCTTCCAGTTTTGACCTTACAACATTTTTTCCAACCATAGTTTTGTCTCATCTCCCACACTTAACACTCGCTTTGAGCATTTGCTTTCCTTGACCGAGATTCATACATTCCCCTGGGACTAACGCCCCTGGTGGCTTCATCCACATTCAGCCTTACTCAGGGATGTCACACCTCGTAGTGACTTATAAAAATAAAAAGTGTTCAGTTATGTTTTGGTGTGTCTTTCCTTTCCTCAGGTGTATCCCTTAAGACTAAGCCTAAAATAGAGCTCTAGTGTTGATTTCAGGCTCATAAATGGCTAGACAAGCTTTATAATAAAAAGGAATTGTTAAATATAACGAGAAAGCAAAATATATTCAATGCTTTCAAAATCCCCTAATCTAATTGCAATATGCCATCTGACTCAGAGAGCCACTTTTTTTCCTACATTGTGTGAGAAAAAAACATGTGGTCCTGTCACAAAATGTTCACATGCCACAGACACTGCAGTACTATATTCCTGGAAAAACTCCTAAAAGTGGGAAAAAGTATGTTTCCTATGTTTGTCATGCCATGGAATAAAATGCAAAACAGGGATTGGGTTACAGAGGGGGCATCCATTTTTCCTTTTGATAGGAATGCTGAGATAGAGCATCAATTTTGAGCTATGTTGGGGTTAAGCAGTATGATGGGGACTGTAAAGTTGCATGTGTGCAATTCCTGTCCTGAGCCGGGTCAATTCCTTGTCACCTCTGTCTTTGTATCACTGCTACAGTGCTGCATAAGTGGCGCGGTAAAATCACACTGACCTTGGGAAAGTCACTGAAGCATTCTGGGCCTGTGTCTCTACTTGTACGATGGAAATAGATATCTTTACTGTTTATTTTTAAGGTGGCTGTTATGGGTTGAATTGTGTTCCCCCCAAAATATACTGAAGTCCTAATTCCCAGTATTTATAAGGTCATTGCACACTTAATAGTTAAGGTGAGGTCGTACTAGAATAGGGTGGGCCCTTAATCCAATATGGTTGGTGTCTAATAAAAGGAAAGCTGCCATGTGAAAGCACAAACATACAGGGAAAATGCCATGTGGCAACATAAGCAGAGATTGGAATGATGCAGCTGCAAGCCAAAGAATGCCAAGGATTGATGGCTACTACCAGAAGCTGGAAGAGGCAAGGAAGGAGTCCTCCCTACATGTCTCTGAGGGAGCATGACCCTACCTTGACTTTGGACTTCTAGCTTGTAGAACTGTGAGACAATCAATTTCTGTTGTTTCAAGCCACCTAGTTTGTGGCACTTTGTAACAGCAGATGTAGGACACTAATACAGTGGTGCAGGTGTCATTTATTGCGTGTGTGCACACGCACGTGCACGCATGTGTATTCTAATTGCAGACGAAACACAAAATAAACCAGGTAGACAAGAAGCAAACAAGGTAACTTTTCTTATCTATCTAAAACAAGGAAATGACACTATTTCCTCCAGACCCAAAATTGCCTATCTAAACTCACCTCCCAATACTGGCCTTCCCATTCAGTGCATTCCAGAACACTGACTGGCCTTTGCATCGGCAGCTTCCTCTGCCTGGAACAAGTCCAGGGCTAACGCCTGACTTCCTGTCTTCCCCAAAGAGACCGACCCTGGCCACTCCATTTAACACTGCAATTCGTACTCCTGCCCCACCCAGCACTCCCAAATCCTCTTGTTCAGCTCTACTTTTTCTTTTTCTCATGTTATTATTGGCTTCCAATATCCTAGTAATTTACTTATTTCTCTATTATGTGCATTATTTGTTACCTGTCTCCCTCTGTGCTAGAACATAAGTTCCACGAGGATAGGGATCTTAATCTTTTTTTTCAAAAATAGGAACAAGCATCTAGAACAGTACGTAGGTCATTAATATATGCTCAAAAAGGATGTTTATAAATCCATTATTTATTTTCAGTTAATCACTTTATAATTATAGAAGCTATACATGTGCACTGTAAAACAGTATCCAAAGTTAAAAACTTCAACTCCCACCATCCAATAAAATTTTCCAAATTAAGATAAACCAGAGTGGTTTTTATCTTCTTTTAAGTGACTCTCAGGAGACTCCCATCTCTTGAGGGGAAATGTCTTGGTAGGGGTAACAACCACCTTATAAGGCTGGTGTGTGGATTAAATAAAATAATGTATCCAAATACGTAACAACTACTAGAGGTAGTTACTTTCATGCAGTAACCACTAAAAGAGGTAGTTACTTTCTTTGCTTTGATCTTGTCTTTAACTTCCATCCTTTCTCCTAACTTCCAAAAAGTAGGTAGTAGGTATCTGCAGCCTAAAGAATGGTATATTGTTCTCATAGGGGAGGCAGGTAGTTCCCCCCAATTTTTCCAAGTCCTCAAATTCATAGTACCAAGTTGTATGGTCCAAAAACGCAATGAGACACAAGGCCACTAACTATTCCATAGAATTTTATAACAGCAGCAACAACAATAAAAAATCATAATAAACAGTAATAATTACATTTTTTATATTACACTCTCCCATTTACAGTGTTTTCATATGAAATTTTCTTTTATAGATCAAAGAACCGAGGCTCAGAGAATTTAAATGACTTGTCCAATTCACTGAGCTGGTAAGCAGAAGAGCTGGGAATTAAATCTAAAATTAGAAAATCATCAGTGACAAAGACCTTTTAACTTGATATTTAGTGAAACGCATACTATCCATTTTTAAAGTCTCACTCACAATAAATGAAATACTCTAGTATTTTCTCTATAAGCTACTTTTGACACCAACCTCTAAACAAATAACTTACCTATCTTAATAGCCACACGTCCTTTCTTTATTGAGTAGCTCTCCACCAAAATTTTCTTCTTGTAAAAAGAATGCACTTTCAGTAGTTAAGTGCACCAGGAAATAGGGTACATTGTTGAGGAAGCCTGGGAATCACTGCTGTTGTGAACTGTTGAAAAAACAAAACAAACATCAAGAGCTTTATATCTCCAGTCCTCTCTGTGAATGCCTTCAGAATGAATGTTTTTTCCAATCCTTGGCAGAAGTCAGTACAAAAGGTTTTTGCTGATGTGTCCGATTAGATTTAATAATATTAAACTTGCATTCCATAGCCTAATTTTATTCTAGGGCCTTAAAAGCATTTATTATAAACGGTTTCCACTTTTGAAGGGACTGAAAGAATCAAATCCAGGAATATTGAGGCTCTCATCATTCTTACATACAGAATTCTCACATTTATTCTTCTTGGTAGGTTAGCTAAAATTCAAGGAGCTAGAAGACACAAATTCAACCCAGAAGTGAAGGCAGTAATCTTAGATTACTTCCTCCCAGCCGAGACAGTGAAAGCATCTTTTTATTCAAATATTAATCACAGAGGTAACGGGTTAATGGGCTCACTGTGGAGGGGCATGCACAACCCCTTCTAAATATGCCAAAATCAAAACCATGGCATAATTACTGCAGATTTTAATTAATTTATTTTAATTAGTTTCAAGTATACAGCACATTGGTTAGACATCTATATAGATCTACATAGTTCATAAAACGATCCCCGCAATTGCTCCCTCCCTCCCCTAACCCTTCATCTAGCCAACATATTAATGCTAACTGCATTCCCTATGCCGTGCTCCCCATCCCTGTGACCGTCCATCATCTATTAATTTGTACTTCTTCAACCCTTCACCCCATTCTCCCAGTCCCCCAACACCCACCCCTCTGTCTGTCACCAAACTGTCCACTCTATTTGTTAGTCTTTTTTCAATTAGTTTGTTCTTTTTATTCTTTAGATTCCACATAAGTGAAATCATACAGTATTTATCTTTCTCTGATTTAAATACCTTCTAAGTCCATCAAAGCAATATCTTTTTCCATTCCCTTCCCTTTAGCCTGTGTGTGTCCTTTAATCTGAAGTGAGTCTCTTATAGGCAGCATGTAGGGGTCTTGTTTTCTTATCCATTCATCCACTCTATCTTTTAGTTGGACCACTTAATTCTTTTCCATTTGAGGTACTTGTTGATAGGAATGTAGTTGTTACCATTCTTTACTCCTGTTCTTGATACATGTTTTTCTTCTTAAAGTAGTTCTTCCAACATTTCCTGTAAAACTGGCTTGGCGTTGATAAATTCCTTTAGCATATTTTTGTCTGAGAAGCTCTTTATCTGTCCTTCAACTCTGATAGCTTTGCTGGATAAAGCATTCTTGGTTGTAGATATATGCTGGGTCTCCATCACATCAAATATTTTGTGCCAAGTTCTTCGGTCCTGCATAGTTTCTTTTGAGAAATCAGCTGCCGGTCTTATGGGTGCTCCCTTGTAGGTAACTATCTGTTTTTCTCTTGCTGCTTTTAAGATTCTTTGTATTTAACCTTTGGCATTTTAATTATGATGTGTCTTGGTGTGGGCCTCTTTGGGTTCCTGGTTTTTGGGATTCTCTGAGCTTCCTGGGGTTGCATATCTACTTCCTTCACCAGGTGAGGGAAGTTTTCCATCATTATTTCTTCAAACAGCTGTTCGATATCTTGTTTTCCTTCAGGTACACCGATAAGATGGTTATTTTGACATTCAATAATGTCCCATAGACTCCTTAAATTATTTTTATAGTCCTGGCTTCTTTTTTCTTGCCATTCTGATTGAGTGTCCTTGGCTTTCCTGTCCTCTATATAGGTCATTTGATCCTCTTCTTTATTCACTTTGTTTATTCCTTTGTTTATTCATTTAATATACTTCTCATCTCAGATAATATGTTCTTCATTTCAGGCTGGTTCCCTTTTATAATTTCCATTTCCATTTTTATGTTTTTATCTCTTTGCTGAAGTTCTCACTGAACCATCTACCTTCCCAAAAGTTCATTGAACATCTTTATAACCAGTGTTTTGAACTCTGCATCTGTTAGATTACTTGACTCCATTATATCTGGATCTCTGTTCTGTTCTCTCAGATGGTTTCTGCCTGTCTTCCCATTTTGGCTGCCTTTCCATGTCTGTTTCTATGTACTAAGCAAAGCTCCTAAGTCTCCTGGTTTTATTACTGTGGATTTGTGTAGTAGGTATCCAGTGGCACAGTCCTGTGAGGGGTTCAGCTGCGGGCCAAGCTTAGCCCAAGCCTCCACCCCTCCGGGACCACCTGTTAAGATTCAGCAAGCAATCCACAGATACTGTCTTTATAGCTGCCTCAAAAGGCCACACCAGAAACCGAGGCCAGCTGCCTCCAGTGTGAGTCTAGGCGCTGCTCAGCAAGGAGCACCTGACTCACTGAGGACACACCTGGATGTGGCTTATATGGGGCCGCGAGTTGGGGGAGGCGGGGTTTCAGGGAATCCTCTGGGCAGAGCAACCTCTGTTATTGAGTTTGATGAGGTCTCAGCTATGGCGGTGCTGCGTTCTTGCACTGGGAGGGGGAAGGGCTCAGAAGAGGAACAATGGATACCGCTGGCACTCCTGTACAGAGCAAGTCTCTCCTCAGCCCTCACTCCGACAATGTCTTCCTGTAAGTCCCTGATGCACCCTGCGCACAGCCAAATCCACACTGATGCTCAGAACAAGCAGGTCCATCACCAAAAATCCACTCATGAACGCGGCCCCTTTAAGAGGAGTCTGCTGCTACCGCTGCCGCAGCCTCTGTCTCACTCGGCTGCTCGGGACGGGCAGCCCCACGTCCTCGCCCTGTCCTATCTTCTGCCATTGCAGGGTGATTTCCTGGACTTCTCCTTAGTTGTATGTCTTGTTCATCTAGATCCCAGGTGATATTTTCTTGCTGTTTTCTCCTTGTTTCCATCACAACTTTGATTTGGTCGCCAGAGGGATGAACAGAGCCTCTATCATCTATACCATTTTTTTCCTCCTGACTGCAGATTTTAACTGGACTTAAGATTGAAATGTCTAGGCAACAACCCCAGATTCAGATATGCCCTTTGCAAATCCCAGAAAAAGAAGATGAATTTCTGGGACAACGTAACAGGAAGAAATCACTTCTAATCTCAGGATGACACTGTGTGGGCTTTGAGAGGAGTCCCAGTTCTGGCTATGAGGGACTAACATTTATCAGACCAGCTTCCCATTGAACACAAACAGAAAAACTGGACAAAAATTATTTTTAAAACTTGTTTAAAGACACTGAAGTGCTACCAAGGCAGCCAGGACACGAAAGGCCAAGATCTTAGGGAGAAGAGAAATAATATTGAGGCAAGTCATGGTATCACTTTTCTTCTCAAGACATCTAGTGATGTTTTAAGAGCCACAAGGCAGAACTGCTGAGAAGCCAAACAGAAAGCAGTAGCTTAGAGGCACAGAAAGTGAGCAGATCTTTTGGCAGATTAAGGAGATTGTGAAGAGAAGGGAAGTGCGGAGAAGCTCGCTGGATGCATTTGCTAACTGATAAACAATGTAAACCAAGCTGAAAGCAGCACTAAGAGGCCGGAGAATTAAACAGAGCTTTTGACAGTTTAAAATTGCTAGAGGAACACAAATTAGAGTTCAGGATCCACCAGGAAAAAAAAAGAAAAAGAAAAGCCCAGGCAAATGGCCCCTGCTTTTAGTTCGGTCTCCTGAAGGGATACATCCTAAAAAAATACCAGAACTGAGCCTTAAATCAATTCAGTCCCTCATCAGATTAAGGAAGTCTGCCCTACTCTTACTGCCTATCAGAAGCAAAAGTAGCCTCTGGAGAAAAATACCATCATCTCAGTTCCTATGATTCTTTATGCAAGATATCTTCCATTTAATCAACAATTCTAGGTATACTAGGGCATAGGTTCAAGAAAGACAGAGACAATAAAAACAGACCTAGAGGTGACCCAACAAGAGTCACAGGACATGGTCTTTAAAATAACTATGATTAATATGTTCAAAATTATAAAGATTGTAAAATATTTAACATGTATTTCTCAGTAACTTACAGAACAAGTCCACCAGCCAAAATTGAGAATACAAAAAAAAAATAAATAAGTGAGAATACAACACAATTAATAAACTCAACCTCAATAATCTACATAGACTACTGCGCCCAACAATGGCGACCACATATTCTTTGAAGGTATACATGAAACATTTACAGAAATTAACCACATATGGGTCATAAAGTAAGTCTCCAGAAATTTCAACAAATAGAAATCATAGTGTAGTTTTTTGAACTTATTATTTTGAAGTAATAGAGGCAAAGGAAATCATAAAAATAGTATCTTTTTAAATTGAGGTAAAATACACTGCTCTTAAGTGTACAATTTCATACATTTTGATAAAGAAATCCAACTATGTAACCACCAACAAAATAAAAATCTAGAGTATTTCAAATCACTTCAGAAAGTTCCCCACATGCCAAAGATAACCACTGTTCTCACTTCTATTACCACAGATTAGTTTTGCCTGTTTCTGAGCATCATACAAATGGGCTCGTATAGTATATACTCTTTTGTTTCTGGCTTTGTTCACTCACCATAATGTCTCTGAGATTCATCTACATTGTTGAGTGTATTGATAGTTTACTCCTCTATTCTCAAGCAACAAATAATTCATTGTATGAAAATACCTCAACTTATTTTATAGTCTCCTATGAATGAAAACTTGGATATTTCCATTTTAGAGCTATTAAGAATAAAGTTACTATAAATATTCTTTTACAAGTCTTTTTATGAACATATATTTTTATTTCTCTTGGGTAAATACTTAGGAGTGAAACTGCTAGGTTATAGGGTTGATGAACATTTAACTTTATAAGAAACAACCATTTCCCCAAAATGGATGTATCATTTTATATTCCCATCATTAATACCTGTGAGTTCAGTTTACAAAGCCTTGTCAGCATTTGGCATAGGCAGAGTTCTAGTTTGAGCCATTCCAGTGTGAAGTTTTGATCTGCATTTCCCTGGTGACTAATGGTGACAGAATTTTGCATACAGTCTTTTACGCAATGTCTGTTCAAATCTGTTGTTCATTTTTTTAAAGTGTAGGTTTTT